AAGGCTTGTGGATTGTTCTAGCTCAAGACCCAACTGCTTCTCCTTTCAGTTCTCAAATTCCCTGGTTCAGTCCCAGGTGCATTGGCCAAGATGACGTCCATCATCTCCTTTAAAACAACAGACAGGCAAACAAAGGAGATGCTCTCCTTCACACCCCCCTCCAACAAAGTGCCTTCAGCAGCTAAAACCAAATCCCAAGTATCGGAGACTTATAATGACATCGTGAGAGTTAGCAAGGCAGAAGCTCCCCTGGTGATTATAACAACACCGGTGCTTGAGAAGAGTCTTAGCTTCGAGGCATCTGGAATTGCTCTTGCAAGATCCATTGTCAAATGAGCTTTTTCCTTTGTTTAAAAATGTCAGCCTGAAGACCCCTGCCAGAGTGGTGGTATAGCCTGCTTGGGTTCACTCTGGCTCCCACAAGGCTTCAACAGCTCTCTTTGCCCCTCCTTGTCTCCAGGCTCAATTAGGAAATCATTTATCTCTATTGGCACTCTCTTTCCCCTGCTGCTTTGGCATTATGATCTCTTTTTTTTTGCCTTCATTCCAGAGCAGTGAGCTGTACAGGGAAGACCACAGCCCCATTCATTGTGGGTGGGGAATAATCTACAGCAGGGAGCATTACAAGGAAGACCCCAGCAATGAATCTGCCCCAGCTAGGAACGCCTGAGGGACTACTGTACAGAAACAGGAGAGGAGGGTATCCCTTGGCTCCACTTACAGGCTAACAATAGGGATTCCTGGTGATACTGAAAGTAGGACACTACTCCCATGGGATGTCATATGGTCAGCCTGTCCCAAACTGAACTGCCACAGCCCTCTCCAATCTAATGATGCGCCTACTTCATCACCACAGCAATCTCCCTTGCTAAAAGAGCACACAAAGAGAAGAGGCTGTAAGGACAGCCACAGTGAGGAGACTACCAGGCTCCTGAACCCCCTCTGACTCCAGCTGGGAATCTACATGTCTCAGGGCTGAGCCCTGAGCACAGCCTGAACTGAGTCAGGTTCTCTACACCTCCACAAGCAGAAACTCTCCTGGCTTTCTCCACAGTTGGCATTTGACCATTTGCCAGACATCCAGAGAGTCAGAACCCAGCCTCAGTCCCATCTCAGATGCACTCAGCAGAGAATGGCATCGCTTTGGCAGCTCAGAGGGAGAGCCACTCACTGTGCTGTACTTCCACTACTGCAGGCAATTCTTTCTGGGTAATTCCTCTAGGTTCCCCATCAACTGTGTTTTATTTAAATGGAGCCAGAGATAAAATTCCAGCCAATAATTTCTTCTACCTTAAAGAGAAGTTTCCATTTTGTGCAAGCTAGGCTTGCCCCTGCCTGTTACTAATTACAGATGGAACATGCAGTTCAGAAAGGAGGAATCAGGATTGTTCCCCTCCCTTCAGCAAATATCCATCAGAAAAAAAAACCTGACTCCTTTGGCTGATGGTACCAAACTTTTTGCCAGTAAGTTTAAAACACAAGAGGGAAGAGGATTGATGGAGAAGCTGAAGAGCTGAACTGCAGTTAACTGCTCCTCTCCTCCTTACAAACACATACTGCCCTTACTTTAAAAGAGATCTACTCTAGTGGGACCAGATGAAAACTTGATCACAAAGAACAGTCTTCAGTCACAGTTGGTAGTTAGAAAACTCAAGGCTCTTTAAACACACAGAGAGGAAAGACAGGCACAGAGCAGGAATGAGTCACAGAGGGCAACCCTATTCTTGCCTTCCACCCTAATCCTCTGCATGTTGTTGAAGGACCTCAGAGTTGCAGACAAATGGCCTGACAATCTGCTTGGGATTCACTGGACCAAGAGAAACAGTATGGAAAACACCTCCCCATCCTGGCAGGGCTCGTTTGCCTGGCTCCAGCAGACAACTAGTGATCCTGCACACCTGGCCAGATGCTGTGGAGCTTTTTGTGTACTCTCTCTATGGAAGTCCCTCCCCAGTGCTCTATTTCCAGCCCTCTGGAAACCCCACTCTGCTCCGAACTGAAAGGGTGAGTAGGGATTATCTGGAGACCAGTGTTATCTCTAAGTGGAGCCAGATGTATAAACCCCATTATTCTTTAATTAATCATCATAGAGTAGGACTTCCCTTCCGAGTTTTACAGTTTAGGATACTTACCCTTCCCTGGAGCCTCCTCCTAACAACATGCTGGAAATAATTATGCACACCCATATCCCATATCCAGTTTTGGGTCCCACTGCTAAACTCAGATACTTAATGGAGATATGCAAAACCATGAGGGCTCCCTCGATACTCATGCTGCTTGCACAGAGCAATTTTTAGTGTTCACTGCATGGTATCAAGACCAAAAAGAGACAGGTCCAATACCAGTAAGGACTCTGCCCTCTTAAGAGTTTTCAAGCACTGAGACCTAGCAAACTCCATGGAGAGAAGAGCCTGAAAGCCAAGGATGCCAGACTCGGTGCGCACAGACCCATCCAGATCTGCTTAGAGTGTTCCTTTACTGCTGACTATTCAACAAGGGGCAAATGGTCAACACGGGGTTGACCTTTTTCACCATTCTGACATCAGAGCTGTCCCAGATCAACAACTGCTTGAGTCTAATCTCTGTAGCCAGGCTCCAGCCCCACATAGGCAAGCTCTCCACTTAAGGACATGTTTTAATGACAGCAGGGAGCAAAGGCAGTGATGGGAAGCTCTTCCAGTACCTGAAGGGGGTCTACAAGAGACATGGAGAGGGATGTTTTTACAAGAGCATGTAGTGCAGGACAAGGGTGAATGGCTTTAAACTGACAGAGGGGAGATTGAGATTAGGCATTGGGAAGAAATTCCTTACTATAAGGGTGCTGAGGCGCTGGCACAGGGTCCCCAGAGAAGCTATGGCTGCCCCATCAGTGGCAGTGTTCAAGGCCACGTTGGATGGGGCTTGGAGCATAGTGGAAGGTGTCCCTTGCCATGACAGGGGGTTGGAACTGGATGAGCTTTAAGGTCTTTTCCAACCCAAACCAGTCTGGGATTCTGTGATTCTGGGTTGAGAACAGTGAGGGCTTTGGGCTTACACCTTTGCTGCTGAGGAAGCCTCAGGCACTGTAGGAGGCAGGTGCTCAGCTTTCTTTAAAATGTTTATCCTTGGGCTTGTTTTGCCAGCAAGAAGCACTTCTAGCATGCACAGCGTGTCTCTGGCCTGTCACTGGCAGGCTGTCAGCCAACGCATTGCCATGGAAACTGGTAAATGCAAAATTATGACTTGACAGCAGTGTCCTGAGGAAAGAGGATCAACCTTCTTCCATATGTTTATGTCCCTGACACAGGGAGTGCATGAACTCCTGCACCACTGTGGGTGGGATGCCACCCTGTCACAGCTCTGTGCTGGACACGGGGTGCCAGGAGGCAAGAGGGACTATGGTGTCTGGGAGCACAGCAGGGAAATGCTGCAAGAGGCGCTTGTTGTTATCACCAGAGAGACTTGATGGGTGTTTAGTCTGGTGCTGATTGCTCTCTAGCTCTGAGGGAAACAGCACCCCAACATCCCTGTGAGACACAGCACCACTGAGCTCAGGGTCCCACAGGCTGCCTGCCCGCAGGATGCAGTGTCCGCATGGGTGGACCAGCAGGATTCCCACGCAGGGCTGCAGTGGGTGGTGCAGACATCCCTCCTGGGCATCCCAGCTCCAGTACCCACCAGTAAACAACTGAGGCCACGGGGCTAACAAGGCCCACAGAAATACTGAGGACAACAGAGCAAAGAGACGGGCACAGTTCTGCCCTTCCTCTGCTGCCTGGAATCCCAGACAGCCCTTCCTGAGCAGACAGCATCAATAACAAGCCAGTTATTCTGGATTCCCTGGTGTTTCTAGCCTAAACCTTATACTGACCACCTCTCTGCCTTTTCCCAGAACAGCCACAAACCCTACAGTTACTTTAATGGAGGTCAACCATTCTACATGTGACTTTGAAATCAGAGCCAACAGGACCAATGTTAAATTAGAGCAATTGATAATGACTCATTCCAGCACTAACTGATCTAAGCGATTATTTAACGGCTTCTAATTTTAAAGTTAATACTCTTTGAAGTCCGTAATGAGAAGAGACGAGCTATTTTTCACACACTCAGACATAACATATGTTAACAAAGAATTAACAAGTTTTCCAAGGGCTCGGGTAGTTGCAAGCTGACTGTTGCTGGCTAGGTCAGGATGTATGAATGTAAGCATAGTCACAATGATGGAATAATTTTAAGCATATCAGATGTAAGTAGTTGGCCTTGAAAAATATCAACATGGCTTCACTTAATTCCAAGTGAGAACCCCTTAGCTAGTCACCTATTTCTCCTGGTGTTTTTCACTGCCCCAGTGAGGTGGTCCCTAGGATGATGCTCACTGAGAGCAGCTACCTGAGGGCTTCACTTCAGGGGGGAGTTGGGGCAGCCACGATGGAGCTTGCCCTGGGTGCAGCAACACAAGGTCTTGCGTGAGATACGGTGACTACAAATCCTAATCAGTATCATGATGTGCTCTTGCATCCTTGCAGTTGTCTTAGACAGCTTTGAGTCCACCTAAGTTTGGGATAACAGTGATTCCTTGCCCACTCATGGATGCCTGCTGTGGGCTGGTGGGGTGACTGCTGGGTTTGCACAGCTTCTGCATTCAAACCCATAGTAACAAAGCAGAATTCACCCCAGGTAACCTGAGCTGCTTGCAACCAGTCTACAGCTAGCAGGTGAAGAGTTATCTCCCACCTCGGATATCCAATGACACAGTTACCCAAGGAGAAGCCCGTCTACAAACCCAAGAGCTATCCTGTGTGTGCCTCTCTCTCTGCTACTTTCTTAGGAAACTGAGAATCTTGCTCACTCTCCCAGGCATGGTAAGTGGGTTGGGCATGGTCCTGTGACTCCAAGGAAGTGCCACAGTATCCCTCAGCTGCGACACAGAGAGCACAGCATCACTTCTACCCAGATGTTCCCACAGACCCAGACACTCAGAGTTAGTGAGCAGAGGCCAAGCAGCCCCATGCCATACTTACTTCCCATTCCCATACTTGATCCGGATGTCTTTGCTCTTCTTCAGCTCTTTGCCATCTTTAAACCACTTGTAGGATGGCTGAGGGTTTCCAGCAGTCGCCTCGCATTTCAGTGAAATCTTCTCACCAACGTGAACGTTTGGGCTTTTCAGTTTCTTCAGCTTGGGAGGGACAGCTACAAAAACAGAAACCAGACAATGTGAAACCTGCCTCTTTTAGAGGCTGCACAGAGCTATGTGAGCACACCGAGCCCCCTCCTTGACAAAAGCACTGCTGCCCACTCACCTGGGATGGCTGGGGAGGGGCTGCACACCAGCTTGGCTCCCCAGGCTTTACCAGCACATAGGCATGGAGTCAGAAATGTCCATGTGGAGAACAGGGGCAGCTCCCCAGGTCTGGCTTGCTCCAGACTCCACTGCTCCATAGCTGTCCTTACACAGATAGGACCCATGTGTTTTCCTGCTAGTACAAGGGTTTGTGCTGCTCTCCAGGCTCTCCCACCAGCCCAGAGCCAGGATGCAGGAGGCTCAAGCTCTTTGGAGACTATTTTCCCTGCATCCTGCCATTGCTGCTGATGATTACCAACACCTACATGATCTCTGCCACTGCCTGCAGGTGTGTTGCCAATCCCGCACCACACCAGCCACAGCAGGAGGGTTTCACTGCAGATGGATCAGAGGCAGGTCATGGGGTGCAGTCCCCAGTCCCCCAGTAGTGTGTGATACGGATGCTCTATGCCTGCTGCTAAAGAGGATGGTCATTCAGCTTGACAGCATCAGAGCAATAGCCATTGAGAGGGGCTGCAGTGGAAACCTGCACAAATGAAGGATGAGAAAGGTGGGAACTGGATGAGCTTTAAGGTCCCTTCCAACCCAAAACCGGTCTGTGATTCTGTGATTCTATTTAAAATGGTCTTAGGACCTGCAATGTCAGGCTTTCCAGACTGAAGCCTGGTTCTGCATGTGAGCTTGCCTGGGTGTTTCAGACAGGTGGAACATCACGAAGAGAGGGAAACACTTCTTAGCAATCTCTACCAGGCTTTATGTTAAACCTGACAAGAAGCATTAGCAGGCTTGCAATTTTTCATTCAACTGGCAGCTCCCCTTTTCCTTTTCAGTATTAACCTTAAAAAAAAATAGCAAATTGCTGGGTTTGGCTGAAGAATATTCATAACAATGATTTCCACTTGTCTAAGATGTGTTACAGATAAAGTATTTCCTCTCTCTAATATGCACAAGCCGTCTTTTAATTGCCTACTGCATTCTGATTGCTCTTCCACCTCACAAGATCAAAGGAGGAGGAATTGGATGGGTTTCATTAGAACAATTGCTATTTTATAGACCTTTGCATGTCTCCACTCATTCTTCATGCCAAGCTAAGTCATCATAGGTTGTATTTAAAAGTTTTTCACAGCAAGTGATCTTATACAAAATAAGAAGCACAGCAGTCATCATGTGTATGCTACAGCGTCAGGAGGCTCTGAGGACTCATATTGGTTTGGTTTATGCGCAAGGGCATGCGAATCTAAACTGTCCTCAATTCAGTAGATATGGACAGACATGTACAGTTTGGGGTAACATGGGTAGGTCGGGCAAAGCTCCCAGTGACTGAAAGGCAAACCCAGACCAAGTGTCTGGCAGCACATGGGTGGGTTACACAGCAGCTCTGGCTCCAAGCACACCAGGTCTTCCACTGACACAGCTACATTGGCACCAAGGCAAAGAAGCAAACAAGACCCAGGAGTGCAAAGGAAAGAAGTTTAATACACCAAGGAAAAAAGGATAAACCCCATCAAATATTCTTCCTGACTTACTTTTGCACACTGAAGCCTGATGTAGGCTCCCTAGAAATCTATGCCACAGTCAAGATGGGGAGGGCTTCAGATGTGCTAACGTGGTAGAAACAGCATAAAAAGCAGCTTGGACAAATGCAGACGACTGCTTCAGGCTCACACTGTTGTCTTGCGCTGCTGCCCAGGTCTCTGTGCTTTGGCACTTCTGAACAAAATTATCTCAGTTTTCCCCAAATTTCATTAGTTCTGTGAAGATCCAAGCGTCCTGGGTTTTGTGAAGCCAATATCCCTGATCCTTGCCTGGAAATGGGTCACCCAGAAGAGCAGCAGGGCAATGAATGGAGAAGAGGGCTTGCCTCTTCTCAGAAGACTGTGCCCAGAGAGCCAGGAAGGTAAACAGAACCTTGCTTTTATAGGGGTCATTTTGGGGAATAGAGAAATAGACTCTGTCAAATATTTATTCTGTCTGAATGTGTGTGTCCGTTGGTTCCTATTGTGCACTGAGGTCACCCTGTACCATGCCAACAGCATACGTGTGCTTTAAATACTAGGAAGGTCCTAACCTTGGCACTGGTGCATCTGCTTTGTATTATTTCCAGGTTTGCAGTCTGCAGAATTATGAAGCAGGCAGCACGGCCTAGGAGAAAGATGTGTCAGTCTTGCCCCTCTGCCCAGAAAATGCTGGTAAGAGCACAGCAAAGCCCAGAAACATGGAGAGTATTGAAGGCAGAGGGCCAAGGACAAGCAAGAAACCTTCCAAGACCTCTATTCCCATTTCTCCCTACCAACATGAGTCACATCTCACTCATACCTAGTTACTCTCATGCCTAGTGCTTCTGTGATAAATTACATGACACTCCTCAATAGGCAGGTCCAAAGAGACACATACCAGAGGTGGAGTGGACACTCACCTAGAGCAGGCGCTCTGCCTGCGTTGCACCCCTCCAGCTGAGCCTGCCCAGAAAAATGAAGGAGAAATGCTTCCCTGTATGTCTTTGTCTGTCTCACAACAGCAGGGAAAGGGACTGCACGCTCAGCTCACAAGCCACACTTCATGGACTGTAATTCCCTGCTTGAATCCAGCCAGTGAAAGGGGAATCCAATCCAGAAATATTTTGGACTCTGCAAAAAGCATTGAGCACAAAGAAAGAGCTGTGCTGCCTGACACCAGCACATCTGTGTGCCTTACTGTTGCCCTACAAGAGTGGCTTGTGCTTGGATGGCAGCATGGGAAGAGCAGGCAGAGCCCCAAGCCTGGGATGCAGCATCCAGAGCCATGCACAGGCTGCTCCAGCTGAAAGGAACCCCCAGCCTTGGTCTCCTGCAACAGCTGCTCTGGGCTGGAAAGTCTCTCTTCCTAATTCCTGCATCTCTTAGACACAGAACTCTCATTCAGAGCCATTAGCTGCTGATGAGCCTGCTTAATGCCAGCCCAAGACCTTCCACTGGTTTGTATTTGTAGTGTTTAAACTGCAGGCCTTTTTCCCAGCCTGAATTTCTCTGGCTTTGGCTTCCAGCCAAGAGAACTCTGCTTTTCTCTGATAGATTTGAATCCCATCTAGCAGCCAGAAACCTCTTCCCTTTTTAGGTACTTGTAAACTATGAATGAATCACCTTTCAACCTCCTCCAGCAGTAAACTACAGTAGTTTGAGAGACCAAAGCAATGCATGGAGTGCTAATGGAGTATGTCAAAGAAAGTTTTACATTTTGGTTCATTTTCAGCTTCAACATTGTCCCATTTCCTATCTCTGCCCTGTCTAAATCACAGACTTGTAGCTCAGAAAGTCGTGAGCTTAGCTCAGACATGAGGATTTTAAAAGTGTCCCCTTTCTTTAATGCTCTGAACATTTTTGGTCATTTTACTCTCCTGCCCTTTCAGTATTTTTTCAAACAAATTGGGGAAACAAAGTTGCTAGCTTCATACATACCAAGATAACATACAATCTGTGGCAAAGGGACTCAGCTGTATACCAGCTGGAGTTCAGGTCCCATTTCCCCATGTTTCCACCAGTTCTCAGCTTCCCAGCCTCATCCACACAAGTTACTGCTGCTTGGATGGGGCCAGCACATCTTAGGTCAAGCCAAAACACCTAACCAAGGACACACAAGTCACCTGTCAACCACTCCTCTACCTGAATTTGAGTCTCCTCTCCATGGGGTTGAAGAACCACCAGCCTCACAAAGCCTGAGGTGATGGAGAAAAGAGACTGCGGCTCTCCAGGCAGTTCTAGCAGACAACCATGCCAAGGGTAAGCTGTGCTGCAGAAAGGAAAAAGCAGCACGGCCTGATAGAGCCAAGATCAACAAGAAATACAGATTTTCTACAGGTTTTTGCTCACTCCAAGGTCAGATGAAAAGCAGGAAACCACTAGATCCCAGCCTACACCAGTTCTGCTAGCCGTAAGAATTTACCCTAAAGCCAGGATCAACAAACGCTCACAATTCCCTAACCTGTTTTAAGAGTCATGTTTCACTAAGAGGCCTTTGCAGGAGAGGTTTGCCCTCTGACAGCAGTCCTGGCATCTACTGCCAAGTTACCACCATCTCATGGAGAGAAGAGGCTTACAAAAGCCTACAAAATTGAGCTCTAAATTACTCCATACAAGTTGCCTGAACATCCACCGTAAGAGGACTTACATGTACACACTGCTTTAACTAATTCACTTCTGATTACATTTGATATTACATTGAAGTACCTTGATGATAACAACACCTCTTTTACTTCTGGTACCTGAAGTATGCCTGAAAGCATCTTAAAGCCTCAACTCAAAACATCATTAATCATGAACCGGCAAAGTGCCCAAACAGAGTCCAACAACGGAGCAGTAACAAAACCACATCCCACCCACACAGCATCATACATAAACAGCCCCTTGGCAGCATGAAAGAGAAGCAAGTCATCTTGGAAAAGGTGCTCAGTGAACTCCTTCATAGCCACAAACACTGCAGTGTCTTGCTCACTGTGGGAGATCCTCCAGAGTGGACAATCTACAGACACATCTGGGACCTCTGGGCAATGGATGTCATGAGTAGGCATGACTTATCTTCCTCGCCTGCTCCAGAGGATGCTATGCCAACCACTGGAGGCTGCTCCACACTGCCTGGCACACAGCAGGTGACTAATTAGGTAGGTGGATCTGGAGAACTGGCAGAAAAGGATCCTTCTGTGTCCTTCTGAGCCACTGAGGGAGAAGGTAACTTAGCTTGAACTCCCATGGCCATGGAAAAGAGGGGCTGAAAAATGCTTTCTGCAGCTGGGACTCTGAATGGAGTTCAGCTCTTTGGTGGCAGGGTCACAAGAGCTCCTCTGAGACCTCCAATGCTCCTGAAGGTAACAGGGCTGTATTTGACTAAAGCCATATCTGCAGTATGACAGACCCCA